GAGCCTGCACGATGGAGGGGTCAGCCTTGGAGCCCTCCTGGAACTCCTGCAGTGTCAGCTTCCCATCTGCATTCTGCAAAACACACCCGGTCGCTGCACTGCTCGGCCACGGCGAGGGAGGCACCGGGCACCCCGGGACTCAGCACCCTGGGACCAGGCACCCCAGGTTAGGGGTCCCACCCGCATCATCCCACACTGCTGCCCAGGACCTCCCCCACCACTGCAGCCTCAGTTTCCCCATCAAACCACCCACACCTGCAGCCATGGAGGGGTGCCACAGAGGGTGCAATGCCACCCTGGGGACCCTGAAATGGATAAGGGGATCCCAGAGGGGTGTGAGGGTTTGCAGCAAGCCCAGCAGCAGCTGCCACCTTGTATTCACGGGGGAAAAAGGCATCTGGAAGAGCCAAGACATGACAGGGGGCCCCACAGGTGCCTCCTAAAGCCTTTGATCCTAAGGAAAAGCCCACCTGAGCATCCTCACCTTGTCCATCATGGCAAAAATCCGATCCACCCTTTTCTCAGGTGTGTTCTCCTCCTCAGGAAGCTCCACAGTGTTTCCCTGCAGTGGCAGGACAGAACCTGGTCACACACCCATCTGTGTCCTGACTGGACAGTGTCCCCAGGTGAGGACACACATTTTGTCCCTGTCCTTCCCTGAGTCAGGACAGGGTGAGGAGGGCTGGCATTTGGGCCAGAGCCAGCCTCTGGCAACAATGGCAACAATCGCCCCTCAAAAAAACCCTGGGAGGGAACAGGGGATGTTTCAGCATCCTCCCCACAATCCCCCTGCCCACAGAGCCAGGCTGCAGTGCAGCAGGGACCCCCAGAGGCTTCTCACTCCTCTACTTACCACCATCTGATAGATTGCATCCACAATGTCCAGCATCTCGTTCCTCGTGATGTACCCGTCGTTGTCCAAGTCGTACAGCTTGAACGCCCCTGCAAACCACAGCAACACTGAGGGGCTTGGGGACTGCAGCCCCCCCCACCCCCACTATCCCTGGGCCACCCCTTTGACCCCCTCAGAGGGCTGAGCCCACCCACATCTCCCAGGGAACACTTACACCTCAGCTTCTCGTCCAGGGTCCCCCGGGAGGTGACCGACAGCGCCTGGATGAACTCTGAAAACTCGATCCTCCCATCCTGGGGAGGAAAGGAGGGAGTGAGGGGCCCCTGCCACCCCCACCCTGCAACACCCTCCCTGCCTGCGTGTGACCTCTTAGGGGGAACATCCAAAAAGGCAATGGGGAGGGAGAAATGCTGCACGTTTATCTCCAGCAGCGTGATCTGGCTGCTGCTCCCAGCCCAGCAGGGAGCATCCCGCTGGGAGTGACTCCAGAGTGCAGGGAGCACTGCACAGGGGGGGCATTTGTCAGTGGCACCAAAACACCACGTTTCTCCTCTCTCCACTTGCCCCTCCATCACCTTTTCCCACACAACTGACACCGACTCAACTAAGCCCAGCTGCATCACTTCATTCCATGCCCCAGGAAGCGCTGGAATATTTGGCTCCTCGGGTGACACACAGCCAGGTCACTGAGCCCCTTCCCACCACTACCCTGTGCCCAGCCCTGACCTCCCTGCTCCATGCCCACAGATTTACTTTGTTCTCATCGAAGACGTTGAAAACGAAGGTGGCAAATTTGGTTGGGTCACCGAAGGGGAAGAACTGCTTGTAGATCTTCTGGAAGCCGGCGGCGTCGAGCTGCCCGCTGGGACAGTCCTTGATGAAGCCCTTGTACCTGGGGAGAAGGGGCAGAAGATGGGTTCTGGGTGGATCTCCCCACCCAGTGCAGCCCCCCCCCCCATCCCCAAGCCCTGGGGAGCCAGGATGGGGCTGTCCCCAGTGCTGCATCGGACTGGATGCAGGAAGGTCCCTGGGTGCTCCCTGTGTCGATCCTGTCTGCATCTCCCAGCCCCAGGGGATGAGGTCCTTGTGGGCACAGTGAGGATGGCAGCAGGGAGAGCCTGGAGAAGCAGGGAGTGGCATCAGTGACACTGAGTGGTGCCACCACACTGCTCCAGCACCACTGAGGCAACTGAGGCACAACAGGGCTCCTGCTGAACACTGTCCAGGACTTGGGAGGGGACAGGAACCCACTGCCCACTCAGAAGAACCCAGGAGAGTTTATTTAAACCCCCTTTTAAATAAAAAGCTCCGTGCATGGAGTCACCTCCCAGAGGTGCTCAGTCCTGACACCACCCCTGGGGGCAGCAGGAGGGTGTTTATATCCCTGCCTCAGAAGTTTGGATGCACACAGCTCCCTCAGGGGAAGCTGCACAGGGAAAGGACCAGTGCTCCCCTTCCCCTCCACCAGACACATCCAGCCAGCTCTCCAGCACCGAGTTGGCCAGGAAAGCTCCCCCCAAGTTGCTGCACCACTGCAGAGCAGGGAATCACCATCACCCCACAGGCAATTTGCAACCCACCCCTCAGCATGGACACGTTGCAGCCCTGGGAACAAACCCCAGCGAGGTGGCCTGAAGCACCTGGGGCAGCCGAGGCTCCATGAGGACATTTTTTGCACAACCCCAAGTGAAAACTGCCCAGAGGAGCTGGGGGGCACAGCACAGCAGGGTTACTGAGTCCTCAGACTGGCACAGCACACGGCTTGTCCCCAAAACCCATCAGTGCTTGAACACCCCCAAAAGCCCTTTAAGTCTCAGCTCCGGGCTGGATGCCACCAAGTGCCACCCTGGAGGGTGCAGGGGAAGGGGCTCATGGGCTGTGGGGACCACATGGGGACCACGTGGGGACCACGCAGGGACAACACGGGGTGTGTGATCATTATGCAACGTGTCGCCCAGATCTGTCAGGCACCGGCTGCAGCGGGACGAGGAGGAGGAGGAGGAGGGGAAGGGGGTGGTGAGGTGGGAAACCGAAGTGCCGGTGACATCTTTTTTCATGCTGCTGCAGCTCTGACTCATCCGAGAGGGGAGGGGAGGGAGGATGAGAGAAAGAGATAAAGAAAGCCAACCTTGGCGGGTGGGATAGGAAGATGAAAGGGAAGCGGTGGCTTTTCTAGGACATTGCATTGGGTGGGGTGGAAGGGACGGGGTGAGAACGTGATGCTGGCAAAGCACCAGCCCCTGACAGCCTCTGCCAGCCCTGCTGCAAACAGGGACATGCTGGGACAGCACTGGCCTCCCACAGCCACCAGCTGGACAGTCCCCATGTCCCCTCTGCCCTCAGCTGCCCACAAGGGGAGGGAAGAGGCACCGTCCCACACAAGCACCCAGGAGCACTCAGAGCCAAGCCCCACCACGCATAAGGTGTGCAGAAAATCCCTCTATTTTCTGGTCTCGCCTCCACGAGGCAACCCCTGCACCCCAAAAAAAGATGCACCCTGGGCACCCCTTGCTGTGCAGAGCTGGGGTTGCTGGGTGCTGCCTGCTCCCACCAGCCCCTGGCCCAGCAGCCCTGCACCCTGGCTCACCCCCGCACCGCCGCGCCGGACACTCACCACTGCTGCACCTCCTTCTCTGTAACTGCAAGAGAAAACAGGAGAGGAAGAGAGGGAAAAAACAAAACAAAACACAAAACAAAACAAACAAAAAAAAAGAAAATAAAAGAAAAAGGACTTTAGCACTTTCCCAGCTGGTGATTTGCAATTCACAGAAGTGACTTCCCTGTGGGGGTGCCCCAGGGCTGCTCCTGTGCTACCCGCAGGCAAGGAGCTGCTTTCAAGGCACAACCTGGGAATCCTCCACCACCCAGGAGGTCCATGGAGCCAGAGCTGCAGGCACCGGGTCCCTCCACCTCTAAAACTGGGGAGCCCACCAAGACATTTCACCAGTTTGGCACCATCACTGCAAGATGCTACAGACCGTGCAGGGACCGGGCTGGTTCATGCCTGGGGAAGATCCAGGCCTGTCCTCCCACTTCCCCAGAGTCAAAACATTCCTGGAAACATCTGGCAAGAAGACATCTGTCTGGAGGCAGCTCAGGGAAGGCACCTGCCCAGCCCTGACATTGCTACACTGGCCAGCAGGGAGCCCAGTGCCAGTGGGTGGGCACAGGGGTAACGGCCTCATTAGTCATTTCCTTTGCATCATGTATCTAAATAATAATAATAAAAAGGCAATAGGTGTGAAATGTGCTGTGATAATGATGTGGAGCAGAGATGTGTCAATGTGCAAAAGGCTGATAAACATAGAAACCCAAGACATCAACAGATGCCAATTACCTTTCATGGCAAGAAAACCCCCAAACAAGCCATTTTCCATCAGAAATCTTTCTAACAGCCCTGGCAGAAGGCAAGGGCTGGCAGGAGGCAGCAGTGGGGGCAGCTGGGAGGACACTTGCCAGCTCCCACCTCACACCAGCTGGGTGCTGGATCCTGAAACCCTGTGGGCAGGAATCACTGCACCTGAAACTGTCCCCACGCATATGAGAGGTCCCTCCATCCCAGCTCCAGGGCTGTTGGAGGGACAGAGATGGGAAGGACACATCACATCCAGTGGCTGAGCTGGGGGCAGGCAAAAACAAGAGTCATGCTGATCCCCAAAGGTCTTCCCACCTCAAAAAAAAGGGTTGTATGGAAGCATTCTTCTAAAGGAGAGATGCTGAGTGAAGTCTCCAGCTGAAACAGGCTGCCCTGCACACCTTCCCTACAAACATGGAGACCCCAGCCAGGACCCCCACCCAAAGGATGCCTGGGGATGCCCCAGGTATCAGCTCTAAAGCCCTAATCACCCTCAGGAGCCAATGAAGGTGGGAGGAGAAGGAAGAAGAGGAGGAGGGTGTGAGCAGCCAGACTGGGCAGCCCTCAGGGCAGGCAAAGGGACCAGAGCCAGGGCTGCAATGGGGACTCAGATCAGCCCCTCCAGGCAAACTGCCTCCTGCTCTCTCTGGTGTTCAGCTGTTTCTCTCAACATGCTATTTCAGGCCCAGGAGCTGCCTTTCAACTCCAGCAGGAAACAATTAAGAAATCTGTGCTTTTTTTAGTACAGGAGAAACGCTGGGAATGACACGCTCAGGCTGGGGTGGGGGGATGAGGAGGAGGAGGGGAAGGGGGTGGTGAGGTGGGAAACCGAAGTGCCGGTGACATCTTTTTTCATGCTGCTGCAGCTCTGACTCATCCGAGAGGGGAGGGGAGGGAGGATGAGAGAAAGAGATAAAGAAAGCCAACCTTGGCGGGTGGGATAGGAAGATGAAAGGGAAGCGGTGGCTTTTCTAGGACATTGCATTGGGTGGGGTGGAAGGGACGGGGTGAGAACGTGATGCTGGCAAAGCACCAGCCCCTGACAGCCTCTGCCAGCCCTGCTGCAAACAGGGACATGCTGGGACAGCACTGGCCTCCCACAGCCACCAGCTGGACAGTCCCCATGTCCCCTCTGCCCTCAGCTGCCCACAAGGGGAGGGAAGAGGCACCGTCCCACACAAGCACCCAGGAGCACTCAGAGCCAAGCCCCACCACGCATAAGGTGTGCAGAAAATCCCTCTATTTTCTGGTCTCGCCTCCACGAGGCAACCCCTGCACCCCAAAAAAAGATGCACCCTGGGCACCCCTTGCTGTGCAGAGCTGGGGTTGCTGGGTGCTGCCTGCTCCCACCAGCCCCTGGCCCAGCAGCCCTGCACCCTGGCTCACCCCCGCACCGCCGCGCCGGACACTCACCACTGCTGCACCTCCTTCTCTGTAACTGCAAGAGAAAACAGGAGAGGAAGAGAGGGAAAAAACAAAACAAAACACAAAACAAAACAAACAAAAAAAAAGAAAATAAAAGAAAAAGGACTTTAGCACTTTCCCAGCTGGTGATTTGCAATTCACAGAAGTGACTTCCCTGTGGGGGTGCCCCAGGGCTGCTCCTGTGCTACCCGCAGGCAAGGAGCTGCTTTCAAGGCACAACCTGGGAATCCTCCACCACCCAGGAGGTCCATGGAGCCAGAGCTGCAGGCACCGGGTCCCTCCACCTCTAAAACTGGGGAGCCCACCAAGACATTTCACCAGTTTGGCACCATCACTGCAAGATGCTACAGACCGTGCAGGGACCGGGCTGGTTCATGCCTGGGGAAGATCCAGGCCTGTCCTCCCACTTCCCCAGAGTCAAAACATTCCTGGAAACATCTGGCAAGAAGACATCTGTCTGGAGGCAGCTCAGGGAAGGCACCTGCCCAGCCCTGACATTGCTACACTGGCCAGCAGGGAGCCCAGTGCCAGTGGGTGGGCACAGGGGTAACGGCCTCATTAGTCATTTCCTTTGCATCATGTATCTAAATAATAATAATAAAAAGGCAATAGGTGTGAAATGTGCTGGGATAATGATGTGGAGCAGAGATGTGTCAATGTGCAAAAGGCTGATAAACATAGAAACCCAAGACATCAACAGATGCCAATTACCTTTCATGGCAAGAAAACCCCCAAACAAGCCATTTTCCATCAGAAATCTTTCTAACAGCCCTGGCAGAAGGCAAGGGCTGGCAGGAGGCAGCAGTGGGGGCAGCTGGGAGGACACTTGCCAGCTCCCACCTCACACCAGCTGGGTGCTGGATCCTGAAACCCTGTGGGCAGGAATCACTGCACCTGAAACTGTCCCCACGCATATGAGAGGTCCCTCCATCCCAGCTCCAGGGCTGTTGGAGGGACAGAGATGGGAAGGACACATCACATCCAGTGGCTGAGCTGGGGGCAGGCAAAAACAAGAGTCATGCTGATCCCCAAAGGTCTTCTCACCTCAAAAAAAAGGGTTGTATGGAAGCATTCTTCTAAAGGAGAGATGCTGAGTGAAGTCTCCAGCTGAAACAGGCTGCCCTGCACACCTTCCCTACAAACATGGAGACCCCAGCCAGGACCCCCACCCAAAGGATGCCTGGGGATGCCCCAGGTATCAGCTCTAAAGCCCTAATCACCCTCAGGAGCCAATGAAGGTGGGAGGAGAAGGAAGAAGAGGAGGAGGGTGTGAGCAGCCAGACTGGGCAGCCCTCAGGGCAGGCAAAGGGGCCAGAGCCAGGGCTGCAATGGGGACTCAGATCAGCCCCTCCAGGCAAACTGCCTCCTGCTCTCTCTGGTGTTCAGCTGTTTCTCTCAACATGCTATTTCAGGCCCAGGAGCTGCCTTTCAACTCCAGCAGGAAACAATTAAGAAATCTGTGCTTTTTTTAGTACAGGAGAAACGCTGGGAATGACACGCTCAGGCTGGGGTGGGGGGATGGAGACGCTCCCCTCGTGCCCACAGAGGGATGCATGATGCTCCCAGGAGAGGCTTTTCCAAGAGAGAAGACTGTTCAGGTGCCAGATTTGTTAATGTGCATCCCTGGGAGGGGCCTGGTAAAGCCTTATCCCTCCTTCAGCACACTGGCACCAGTGCCCTTCCTCCTGCAAGGGGCAACCGCAGGGTTTGCCCCGGGGCAGGAACATGGTCCCATCTCCCAGCCCTTAGAAAACCACCCACCTCTGGGTGCACCCCTCTGCACCAAATATTCCCTCTCCCCAGGGCAGAGTGTTCCCAGCACAGGAAAACACAACGGCCTCAAGACCAGTGTTGCTGCAGCCAGAGAAGCTGGGGCTGGGGGGGCACCTGCCTCCCTATATCTGCAGTTAAGGACCCCTGACAGATGATGCCTTCAGGACTCCACTTCCCAGCTGCTCCAGCTTCACTGGGTGGCCAGTGGCACTGATTAGGGATCCTAATGCCCAGCCCTGCAGCAGGGACCTGCGGCCATGGGAACACAGCACTCCCCTGGCCAGACTGAGCCACACATCCTGGGGCTGGGGACAGGGGCCACAGGCAGGGACAGGGCTGCTTCTTCCCTCCCCCTGACAGATCCTGTGCAGTTCCCTGGCACGCTGAGCCCAGCTCAGCTCACAGAAAGTACCTGTGTGGTGGCAGCTGCAGCACCTCCCTCCCCCAGCGCCGCTCACGGCGTGATGCTGAGCCAATACCAACCAATCTGCAGGGATACAAACCTCAGCCGGGTTCAACCCTGTGATCAAGGACGAGGGGATGTCCCACAGCAGCCCCCCTGCAGCATCCCCCCGGAGAAGGGCCAGCTCCATCCTGCCTGGGCTCAGCAGCCAGGCCACCTTCCCCAGGGACGGGCATTCCCGCAGCCACTGTGGGGATGGGTGGCTATAAATAGCAGCTTGTTACGGGATGCAGCCTGCCCTGGGATCCGTGGGGATGAAAGGTGCTAAATAAAGGCAGGGTATGATGAGCACCAGTTCTGAACCACAACAGTGCCAGAGGCAGCGCTGAGCCCGGAGCCGCCCTCCGGAAGGTACAGCTCTGCTGGCAACCCCTGCATCTTTGCTTTGTTTTCACTGCTCTCAGCAAGACACAGGGAAACACCAAGCATGGGGCTTGCACTGCAGGCAGGAGTGGGCAGCAGGGACAGGGACAGGCAGCCCAGAGTGGCACCAGAGCAGCCCTCCCCAGCCACGGGCCTTGGCTGCCCCATGGCAGCACTGGGCTGTCCATCCCTATCTCAGCAGGGAGGAGGGTTTTGGCCAGATGCCTGGTGCAGCACAGAGGGACAGAGCCTGCCCGAAAGGGCTGCACTGCAAGGAGCCCCCCAGCTCTCTCCTCTCAGCTACTGGCACCTGAAAACCCCCAGCCCTCTGCTCCCACCCTTCCATCCATCCCCATCGCACAGGCGGGGACTGACAGCTCCATCTCCACCCGCCCCTCGTGTGCCCCCTCTCTTCCCACCACCCAGCTGCCACTGCAGCAAGAAGCAGCTCTGGTTAATCAGTGCTCAAGCTCGTTAATTTGTGTTTGCCAGGCAGCT